TGTATATATAAACACTTGGAGAGTTTGCCAGACAAAAGTTCACAAATCATTGATTGGAAACCTTGCCAGACACTCTTTCTCTCTCTTTGACCAGAATAAGACTCAGCCCCAAACAAGCAAGATGAGTGAACAACGGCTAGCTTATCACTAGTAGAACGATGGACGATTACAGAAATTCGCCGACAATCAAATTTCTGTGCTGACTTATTCCCTACCGTCCTTCCGCTATAAAGTTTAAAATAAGACTAGACAGCTGACTAGAATGCGAGAGCGTGAATTGGTCAAACGTCCTTTTAATTTCTAAGGCTTACTTTCCGGCAAATAACATGAACTGAATGTAAAAAGTGAAAGAGAAATAGCGAAAAGTTCAACTTCTAATTAAATCTTTTCTTATGGTGTAGAATAAACTATTCTCGAAACTGAGAATGTTTTTATCAAAGTTGTGTAGTCGAACTGAACCTTGCGTTTCCTGTATTTATCTCACCCATTGTATGGAATGTGTGAAAATCTTCGTTATGAACCGGTATATTTCAAAGAGCTACACAACGAGCAAGAATTGAATACTATTGACCGACAATATACAGAGCGGGGGCAGTTGTAGTGTCAACTATTACTGGTTAATACTAGATAGAATAATATACAGGTAAATGATTATACAATAAAAATAGAAATAGAGACAGTTTAATGTCCATTCCTTCATTTCAGACCGTTTGCCTCTCCTTTTTTGGAAATGCCTGAATTAACCTTCCGCGGAAGTCAGTGTTAACACATGCCCTGAATTTTTTTCTTAATTCGCCTTAAAGATACAAGAAAAAAAAGGAAACTCTCTAAGTGAGTGCATGGTCAGGTGACCAGGCTGTCGTGTTAGTCATAATAAAGGAAGCTATGACAGTGATCAGCATACTAAATTGTTGGTGAGATATGGATATTACTCTCAAACCTGACGTATTTTCTGACTAGACAAGTAAAAAAGAATATACTTCTACCTCATGCCAGACGGCGAAAATAAGAATAGTCTGCTAGAACAATATATTTAAGAAAATCTATAAGCTTCTAGCTGCAGATTTGAAAAAAGTGAAAGCGCAATTGCCCTAAGGCACATATAAACGACTTAGAACAAAGTTTCATTGTGTCAAGACCTACCTGATATCGCCGAGTAACGGCTACTTAGTGCAAGAAAAGCAATTATGGTGAAACTATGCCAGAATCCCATTGTCAGACGTTATTTAGTTTTCAATTAGCAGTTATTCGAGAAATGTTTCGTCTAAAGCTGATGAGTGCCATTGACGAAACTCCTTTAGGTATGGAGTAAATAAGCGCTGCATAACTTTGAAGTGCAAACACGGAATGGAATCTTTGTAAAGACTAAACGTCTTTCCACGAACGATTGATGCAGTCTAAGAGACGCGGATACGCTAGTCTCGAGAAGGGGAACTACCGAAACCGTTATCTTCAGATTTCACAGAAATGGAGCTCGAAATCCACGATAAGGACAGGTTGCAACTCCTAGGAAGTTTGTTAAGATTTATACCAGTTTCCAAGAATTTTACGCTTGGCTAGTTTCTAGGAAAAAGTGAGGTCAAAAGAGATCAAACCCACCCAACAACGTATGGGTCGAATATCATATTCCACATTTAAACATTTTTTCTTTAAAATTTGTCTAGTTGTATGGCTTATAGAGTAACGACTATGACAACGTTCTAATTTATTTAACATTTTTTAGTCCACCGCGTTAGTTGTTTTTCGGTTAGTGTTAAAATTCAGATTCGTAGTTAAACGGTCGGTTCGATCTTTTGCTGCGCTTTGCTCAACTTTAAGTGAATACATACCCGTTTAGTAGAGTTTCAATGATTTGAAAAAGATTTTTGGACGAAAACTCTTGGCTTTAAGCCGAGACCCTCGTTTAGAGCTCAAATTTCACATAACTTTAGCTTGGCTTATAGCCGAATAAATGCGGTAAATAAAAATATTGTCGTCTCAATCCCGATAAGAAAAGTGTTATGATAATGATGATAATGATGATGGTGATGGTGGTCAGGTGTTGGTGGTTGTGATGATGATGATGACGACGCAACTGAACTCTGACAATTGTGTTTCTAGGTACGGTCTCTCTCCTTGCGGGTGGAAAAGATTGATCCTGGATATAGGAAGAAAAACAGGAAATAGCTGATCATAATAGGAAGTACGAAGTAACGTGGAAAAGAGTTTAAGATAAGAGTCAATTAAGTTATTGACGTAATTATTATTTTAGCAAACGTTGAATGTATGTATTAAATTTCGTCTGCTACTGATATGATAAAGACATCCAAATCAAATCAGTGCATGCATATACAAAATGGGAGTAGCTTCCTTTCTATCCTCAAGTTTATCAAAACGTTTTGCCCAGTTAGAATTTTAATGTCATTTTATTTCACACAGCTAAATGTATATAAATAATCAAAAGATAAAACCTGCAGAATGAGTGACTAAAGTCGTAATATTGGCAATTCATGGAGTGATTGTCAAACTAGGAAAACACCCCTTGGTGAAATGGTCTAGTTTTTAATCCAAGTTCTTACCTGACGTAAACATTCTCTCCATTGCAAGAAGAAAAGAAAGGCCGACTAAAACATCCTTAGCAGATTTGCACTGCATTTTCATATCAGGTATGCGATTAAAGAAGGACAGAAGATTCTTAGCAACGGAGGGAGAGTGAGATATGTAAGAAGGATCTGTACACAACTGGCGGTATTCACCAATGGTGGCCATACATAGCGAGAAAAGCCGTAAACAACATTCGTATTTTGATGCTCCGCACAAAAGCACCATTCAGTCGATCAGAAGGGCTTTCGAACGATCGAAAACATTTCTTGGAAACGGCCAGGGTTCCTTTTACTTATCCAATTGGAACCTTATACCAAGTGAACGTTTGACACTGCATTTTTTGTGCCCAAGACAAGTCGGATTTCCAACACTATAGGTATAATGCGTACTAATTATTTAACTGCTCGCTTTTTCATAAATTGTTTATTGCATTAATGAAACTCAAATTTTTAGTGGAGGGAAGAAAGATGTCTGAGTCATAATAAGCCATTCACCAGTGTTTCAGTTTCTGCAACCAATGATGTATAAGCTTGCTGTCGCTCAGCAAGCGTTAGTACTACTCATGCATTGTCTGCATTTAAACTCATTTTGAACTCATTTAGTGTGCATCATCAGCGGTACAACTTACTGAAAGTTGTGCCACCGTGTTAGGGTCGTCTTCACAAGTCTTATGTTGTTAGAACCGTAACTTCTAAACGTCTGGTAGATGATTCGGTCGAAACCCGGAATAAATACGAGAATGGTTAACGGCCGCCAACTACTTCCCTTAATAGACGTTTGCGCTCTTAAAAGCTCTAATAAATGCCAAAAAAGCTTAACAAATTAAAGTCGTGAAAAGAAGATCTGTCGCTACTGAAATGGGGCACTAGAAAACTTGTAGGCTTTTCAAAAAGTTATTGGAGAATCGCTTGAAGCCATCTATCATTCTTCGATTCTAGGAAAATGACCTAATTGACCTTAACTAAAAAAGGAAGCACTAAATACTTCCTGTTTTGTTGAAAGAAAATGAAACTATGCGTCCTTGATGGAATATGCTTAAGTGTAACAAGTTTTTTCCTTCTTTTCTTATCCTTTGGTTAAAACTTGTTGTATTTCCCTGGGGGACGATAGGGGGAAACTGGATGAGTTATTATGTGTTTATTAATAGGCAATAACCTTATGGCGTCACTTATTGATATAACTACACGGATCTATCCCATTGTCCTATCATATTTCAAGTTGGTAATCCCAGCGAGGTCTAAATAACAAAACCCCTAATCTCCATAAGAAAGAAAAACGCTGAAGAATTTCGTTAGTGATAGTATTATGACGTCTAAAGTTGTGGAGATAGCTTTGTTCGCCAGCTACTAATGGCCTTCTTCTATGCGTCACCACTTAAAGATTTGCTTTCGTGTTAAGGTTAGCTGGATCGTGCGCATGCATTGACTGGTTATTATGTGGCAGGCATCAATGATT